GCCCGATTATGATCGGCACACCTATCGATCTGCACACCTCTAACATAAACCTCAATGAATGGAAGCAATGCTGCAGAAAAGACCACAATTACTTGAGAAACTGAAGCAGAAAGTATGTTCTGCCACATATTATTGTAGAAGGTGGTTCAACAATCAGTTACCCTTATGACCATATTACAAATCCCTGACAATTACTTTTCTGTTTTCATTAATGCAAGTAAACAAACACAACTTACAGGATGCCCTGAGTAGATCCAAGCTCTGTATTGAATACTTTACCTAAAAATAATTGCAGAAGTAGAATTAGGTAATTTTTTTACTGGGTGGACAAGAGTGACCTTGGCGCTAATTTTCCTCTTAATAAAGACAAGTTGGATGGCCTGGTGAGCGGTGGGAAGAGGAAGCGTGACAGTGAACACTTGTCCGGCATAGAGGACTACCTTCAGTTGCCAGACGACTATGCCACACGCACGTCTGCACCAGGAAAGAAAAGGGTAACATTTTTTTCCTGTTATATGAGGCTGTCTTTTAGGAAAATGCAACTTGAATTGATCAATATCTATTTCATGCTCATAATGGGTTTGGTTGGTTGTCTTCTCTCTTAAGGTCCGATGGGCTGATCTTGAAGAGCAGAAGGATGCAGATCGAAAGCGTGCTATCGGTTTTGTAGTTGGGCAAACGGACTGGGAAAAAATAACAGATGAGAGTGGCCAGTTCGCACAAAGAGCTCTCAATCGTACAAAATATTTCTAGGATAGTCTGATTCATTATTTTGGTTTACAGTAAGGTACGTATGTTTTACAGTTTCTTACTTTAATTACTACCTTAGGCATTTCAGGTTTTATTTGAAGGATGTTAGATGATGTATTTATAAATCCTAAAAAAAATGTAAAGACTAGTATCTTTTATCATAAGAATGTTTTTTATGGACTTTATTTGAAGTCGATATGGTACTTTTCTACCATAGGTGTATTTTATCCTGTGGGTTGCAGCAAATCCTCAATTTAAAGACAGTTGGGTGGTCTTCAAAGCTTGCTTTGGATGAAACTGCACAATCAGCTTAGTTTTACTGAAAAAGTGTAATATCTGTGGCCCTTAATGGTGTATCCACATACAAATTAGCCACAGTTTTCAATAAAACCCTAAGCTGTTGGTGCATCATGGCTAAGTAGAAACGCTTGTTTACAATGTTTGTCACTGTTTTTAAAAAAATTCTCACATATTTGAAGGCAGTTAACACACAAGAGTGGAATATTTTACCTTGTTCTATTTTAACAAACATTTACTTGTACAAATTGCCTTTCCTTTCCACTGAGTTGTTTGGTTGATGGGGAGCAATTGTAATGTTAGATGCTAGCTGAGAAAGTATTGTGCATTGAGTCAAACATCTATAAATTTACTGGTATGACAGATCTCGTTGTTGCTTAAGATTTTAACCTTTACTGTTTATTGCAAACAAGTTTATCATTAAATAACATTATTTGCTTTCCACAGGTGCCCAGAATGTGAAGATGCTTCAGCTCCTTGACAGTGAAACATTCGTCAGTACAATATTCCCAACAGTTATCAGTAGTTTTTGTCACTTCACTAATAATTATAAAGAACACATTTTTCCCTCTGGGATGAGTTGTAGTTAATAATCTGTGCTTATTTTGTTTAAGTATTCAGGCATCTTTTACCTTTTTCTCTGTTTTATACTTCATGTACTGTATACCTGTAACACTGTTTTAGTCTTTGTGTTGTAGAGGAAAAATAAAAGGTTCTCAACATTAAAAACTAATGAGATTTGTCAGTGGGGTTTCATAATGATGTTTGGAGAATTACCTGTGTTGCTTTATGTTTGGCAAGACTTTTTGTTCAGTTTATTGCTAATCTACATTGAAAGTCTCGTCTCTGTACATTCATGTTCTGCCATTGAAGTCACAATCTCCAGACTAAGACGACGATCAACTGTACTCATCTCTTGTTCATCTAGGTTCCCTGTTATGCGAATGAATATTTTTATAAATTGAACTTGTATATATTTTTATATAAACCGATCCAATATGGAAGTAGGTGTATTAATAAAGATGTTTAAGTCCCATCTCCTGTAACTGACACCCTTAGAGTTCATTGGCAGTGCATGTTACAAGGTGGTGACGAAAATATTAAAGTAAAAAGGAGCCAATTCCTTTCAATAAGCAGTGGACTTCTTATTTTTCATCCAGTGCTGTGAAAAGTAACCCTCCCCATTACATATTACTGCTGTTTTTGCTTTTTTGAATGTTTCAGATCACCCAATCAAGTTTAATCAGACAATAACTTGAGTAAATGGTGTTTTTGAGTATGAATTTACCTAAACTTACACCATTTCTAATCAGTATATACATTATATATATATATATATATATATATATATATATATATATATATATATATATTATAAGTCTGACATTGAGTAAAAAATTCCAAAATATTAGTTTTTAATTAGTATTTAAACTGGATGGTGTTCTTTGGATCAATACTCTGCTGCATTATCAGAGTGTGCTTGAGCTTAAGGTCATAAACATATGAAAAACATTCTCTCCACTTTTTCATGTTTTCTATATTTGTTGGTGATTGACTTAACTCTATAGTCGTAGAAAAGGCTCTGCAACCTGTTCCTGACTAATGGATGCCAGTAACTTTGGTGTGTTCTTGAATTTTTATTTAAATCAGGACATGTTGCATTGCTTTTTCAGACCATTTTGCCCACTTTAAAATACTTGCAATTTAAGTAATTTGTTTATTCTTAATTATTTGTTTATTCCATTATAAGGAAATGGACTCTCATAATAGATTGTTGGTCATTGAACAAGGGGCCAATAACTGTCCCACAAAGGCCCAGGTTGTTTGGAAAAATTTTTTCCCATAATAAATGAAATTGTAATTGAAAAAATAATTAAAATTTCATTTATTGAAGGGAAAAATATTGTTGGGTTATGATAATCCAATATTAAAACTTCAAAATATAGGTGTCAAGAAGGGAAAAACAAGAAATGCATAAGGGGTCAATCATCTTTGGTGGTGTTTAAAATGGACCTTTTTAATAACTCAAGAGCAATAGTAACTCAGATTATTGCATTATGCTTCGTTACTGTTTTGTTTTAACATTCTATTTTTGGGAAAAAAACAAAAGCGCATCATTTTTATCTTAAATTTTTGTATGAAAAGTTTTATTACTTATTGTGATAATCGTAGTCACCAAGAATTGTATTCCAATTAAACTTAGATTTTTACTGACAACAGAAAGATGAACAATTATGCACTATGTAGACATGTGCTTTTCAAGACATATTTGCCTTCAGCCTCTGGAAAATTCTTTGTACATTTAGTGCACACTGCTGAACAATAGTTTCCACTATATCACCTTCTTGAACTGCTACTACTCACTATGCCCTATGGTAGTAGTTTCAACTGAGCTGGTTTACCCTTTTTACAGCGAAAGAGTCATAAGAAATATCAGAGGTAGTGTTGGAACGCTAGTAACATATTGTATTTTTGCACGTTAGTGATCATGATGTGAACCATGATCTACACAGATTGGTGTTTTCCTTTTTTTCTGTCTTGTTATAGTCTTAATAGGTCATGAATGCTAACACCCAAATAGCAGATATCCAAACAATACTGCAAACAGAATGTTTCAAAACATTATCTTATAATCTTCATATTGAAAAATTAATTTACTTGTAATTCAATCCATTAATCATATTTATACTTTTATTAATTATTTTTAAAAATTCTCCCCTGCGTGGAAAAAAAAAAAAAAAAAAGTTGCCAAACCAAGTAATTACGTTTGAGCCTCCTGTTGGATAATTAGTGCATGGTCACTTATCTCTTATGGTAACATGTTATTTAACCCCTAAAGATGCAATGAGTAGCTTCTCATTTCTTAAACAACCATGTCGAAAGACGCATCCCGTGGTTGTGGAAAAGATGTTGGTCTGTTTAAGAAAGGGGAAATCACTGGCACCAAGCAGAGAAAACATCTAGTGAGACTGGAGAAACTACTAAAAATGGGTTAAAAACTGTTAAATGCCAGTAAAAATATTTCTATTTGCACAATGGAAAGGGAATCCATTCGATTGGCACTCAACAGCTGTGTAGCCATAAGAAAACCATTAATCAATGAAGCTAACTGGAGAAAAAGGTTTAAATATGCAAGGAGCAAAATAAGACGACTCTGGACCAAAGGAAGAAGATCATGTAGTCTGAAGGGCCCAGATTTACCCTATTCCAGAGTGATGGGCACATTGGGGTAAGAAGAGAGGCAGATGAAGTGATGCACTCAACATGCCTAGTGTCTACTGTACAGGCCCCTGGGGGCAGCCCTGCCCTGTGATCCAGGGTTGGTCAGATTTAGGTTCAAAACATTATGAGGTGAGCTGACTACCTGAAGATGCTGAATAATCAGGTAATTTTGTCAATGAAGTTTTTCCTCCCTGATGTCATCTTGAAATATACCTTTGCCAATGATTCATTAGACCAATTGTGAAAGTCGTCCAGGGAACATGGGACATCATTTTCACAAATGGATTGGCCACCATGCAGTTGAGACCTTAATCCCATTGAGAATCCTGGGGATATGCTGGCTTTGAGAGGTGGTCAGACTCTCCCATCATCAAAACAAGATCTTGGTGAAAAGATGATACAAAATAATTTGTGATATGGCAGCAGCTTTTCAAAACAATGCCGCAGGAAATGTGTTTCATAATCAAAGCTAAAGGTGGTCCAACAAAATATCAGACTTTTTTTTTTTTTTTTTTTTGGCCAGGCAGTGTTTGTTTCAGTATAGTTTGCCAATTTCCGTATTCTTAGCATACAAATAAGGAAAACTAAAATTTAGTTTAGTGTGAACAGATGTGAATTCCTTTTGGGAGGTGAAATCACCATCTTCATAAGGCTTTTCGAAAGAAGCGGGCTTGAAGTGCCCAAAAATGTCCTGACAGGTGGTCACTCTGATTTTGGACCAACACCAGCAGATGACACCCAAAGTCATCGCAGACTGGAAACGTAACATTGGATCTGAAGCAACTTCAGTTTTATTCCTCTTCACTTTTCCTCCAGACTCTGGGACCTTGATTTCCAAATTAGCACATTTTAATTCAGTCGCTGGACAACAGTCCTGCACTTTTTCTTCTTAGCCCAGGTAAGACTCTTCTGATGTCTGTGTTTCAGGAGTGGTTTAGCACAAAGACTGGAATAGTCATAGATCATTATTTTGAATATATATATTTGGCGGCTCTTTCAGAACCAACTCTGGACTCTCTCTACATCTTATGAATCTCCCCCAAACTCTTGAAAGATCCTTTGCTTCACAGTTCTCTAAAAACTAAAGTCACCCCTGTTGCTTCTGCGCCTTTTTCCTACCACACTTTCATTCAGCTCAACTTTCCATTAATATGCCTAGAAACGGCTTTGTGAACAATCAACTTTTGTGGAACTGACCTTTTGACTAACACTGACTGTATGCTTGACGACTTGTCAAGTCTGCAGACTTAAAGAGGTCATAATATTTGTCTTGCTGAAATCCTGAAAGTACAATCCTTTTTTGGTAATAGTGGAATTTGATATTTGACTTTACCTGGGTTGGTCGCCAGAAAACTGAGGAGAGGTCAGGTCATTTAGAGCTTCTTAGTAAGGATGTAAGAAGGAGGCCCTGCTTTTTTTCAGTATGGGTAGCTACATTTATTGTATGTAATTTATTAACATGTAATAGAAAAAAAAAAGACACTGGTGTTATCAACATTTTTCTTTTCCATGTTTAAACTCTTCGAAGACTGAAGGAAACCCAGGGTTTGAATTTTCCCACTCTGGATTTTAATCTGGATTCGTCTGCCTGGATTCCCTGAAGCTACAAGAGCAAAGAGCATTTCTCCTCCTGAAGACATTTTGCCCGAGTACCGACAGAACAAATCAAACATGATGAACTTATGGTAAGTATGGGAAGTAAATGTGCTAGATTTAATCATGTGGAATAAGTTTTGAAATTGTATTAATCTAAATAAAATGTACTTTGTATGTTAAATATTAAATATTTTTTGCTCTTCGGTGTGGACCTTGTTTTGTGTGCATTTTGAAAAAGTCCTTCACAAATCTGGATTTTTTTTTTTTTATGCAACCTAAAGACGTTCAAAACTAACATGTTAAAGATTTCCTTTTAATACAGAAAACATTTAAGACCACTCACTGAGTTAATGTTAGTAGCTTTTGTAAACTAGTAAAAGCTGAAGCTACATAATCAACCATTACTCTTCCTCTTTCTGACATCCATATTACTTACCGTCCATATATTTGCCTTTCTTTTCCCATTCAAAACAAAATTACTCGGTAAGTCCACGCTGTGGCACAAGATGCCTTTTTGGCTGGTGTTCATCCAAAGTGATGACTTTTAAATTCAGGTGGAACGTCACTGTCCAGCTTGCAGATCACTTTGTAGATTGTCTTCTTCCAGGATGGGTCGCGATCCTTGCCCATTGAAATTGCAATGTAAAACTCTCTCAGTGTAACCTCAGCCACTTCAAGGAATCGGTCAGGAACCTATCGAAGCACACGAGAAACATTGGAGTCAAACAATTTTCTCAGTTGTTGGCTCTAAAAAAAAACTTAAGTAAATTAACATAATGCTCTTAGGAATATTCTGGTCTTTTATATCAAGGTAAGTAAAGACTTAGTGAAGAAATATAAACAAACCAGCTGGAGTTAAAACCCAATATCTACTGAACACAACAGCCCATTTAAGTAATTTCCATAATTTCTTGACCTCTTGCATGCAAATTGCAGCCAGTTTAAAATTTGTATACTTCAGGTCTACCAGCATTATAAAAGCATTGGTTATTTTCCATGCACCATTGTAAGATTCTGTAACAGATCAGATAGTTTTATCATAAACTCAACCAGAGGCAGGCAACCTTACCGTAAACCTACATTTGAAATTACTTATTTTTTTCAACTCGGTTGAAAAAAAATGTCTAAATGTGGCTAGTTGTTGAAGGAAAATGTTTCAATTGTCATTTGTTTTATGAATGGCACGTTTATAATGCATTTCTAATAAACCACAAATCAATTTCTAATTTGATACAAAGTCTGGTTTTTCACAATGAGTGCAGTGCAACTGCTCGGCTGTTCCTGTGTCCAAAAATAATTTATTGTATTTCTTGTTTAAGTTTCAAAGTGAATTCCAAAAAAAAAAAAAAAAAGACTAGACTTAATAAAATTTGATTCTGTGGTATAGTTTATTTTTTGACATCCTAATTGATCTTGCAAACATAAAACCTCATCCAATTTCCACAGCTGAACATTGTTGAACTGTGGAAGAGTTTGTCCCTTATTTTATAACTAAAATGAGCATTACATGTTTTATTTGTACGTCAAATACTTTCTGGAGTTTTCTTCCTCTCAACTCAAAAGCTGTGCATCAAAGTTGTGAATGAACAGCTTCTTAACAGTACAGGATATCTGCTACAGTGATGTATTTAGTAATGATGCTGTTTGAATCATTCCTTTCCTTTGTACCTGCCTGGTTTGCACTTAACCAAATGCTATTTATAATGAAACGCAACCTAAATTTTAATTTTGTATCTGTACAGTTTCTGCTGATGTATGAGATCTGTGCTGTAACACAGTGGTGCCCAAAGTGCGGCCTGAGGGCAGTGTCCTATTGAAATCTTAAGATGAAAAATGTTAGGAACAACATTTGGCTAAATAACCAAAATATTACCATCTCTGTAATGAAGAATTAAAACAAAAACAACATTTAGACTTCATGGATTTTTAAACTATGCTGTTGAAGTCCAGGATCCATAGTTTACATATTTGTAAATTACCTTTAACAGTAAAGCATCTTTTTTTTTGGACTTTGAGCAGTTGAGGATTTCGACTCATGGCAAAATGTTTCGACACCATGCTTTAATATTTTTTACATAAGCGTATTAAGGCCGTCTTCAAATTTTTAAGGGTAGTATTGTTAATATACTCACTATACTCACTGCTCTATATTTTTATAGTGTGTTTACAAAGGTTTTCTATGGTTTTAGCAGAAATGTTCTGAGTTATTGTTTTTTTTTTTTGGGGGGGGGGGATGCATTTTCAACTGCAAAATTTGTTTTCTATGTAAATTCATCTTAATTGGATGCACATTATTCTACAATTGTTTATTCCTTAGCCTTGCCTCTGAAGCTTCAGAAGCCTTTTCAAGGCTGTAGTGTATTACTGGTAGATGTAAAGAAAACTGAAAGGTATTCTCATTAAACCCATGCACCAAAAAGGACAAAAAAATATATATATTTTTTTTTTTCTGTCTTTTTCCAAATTGCATTTTAGCTGTTTTCTCTGTCTGCATGAGCAAGTTCTGGAGATAACAGTAAACATGTAAACCGCCTTCACAGCTGTTCCAGCTATGAATATTTGAGCATAAGACAAAGGATAGTTAAGATTCATTCAAAATAATTCTGACCTGGAATAATCAGTTCATGGCAGCTTGAAATTGTTTTTCAGCTGCAGATTAGAGAAATGCCAAGACAAACAGAGTGGACACTTGTCTGTTTTAAACCAACTCCAATCAGACAATTTCTCTCCAGTCATGAACTGGGATTAAGAAACCACATATTTGATCCTCTCCCTTCTTCAGTATATAACCACAATGGCTTTTAAAGGTTGTAAAACCTCTGAGCAAAAACAATGGGCTTGGGTATCTTTCGGTTCAAGCAACTAACCCACATTAGCCGACACAGTGAGTGCTCATAAACTGAGCAAACGACCCATTTGGACAAACTTTAGTGGTGGTAATAAAGGCACAATGATCAGATTGCGCTCCTTTTGATGACATGAAATGTATGATTGCACCATGATGTAACTTTTTATTTTTTTTAGCGCCACTATATGTGACCTTTTGTTTATTTTCATCTCTCTTCATGAAGAATTCGGTAACTCTTATATGCCATCTTGTGTAAGAAAATATGGTTGTAATCATGTGATTCTGGTTTACAGATTTTCCTCTAAAGTAAAAAGCCAATTTTACTTTTTTTTTGTTTTGTTTTTTTTTAAACCATGTGTCATCACCTAGAGTTAAATGTAAAAAATCAAAAATCACATGGAACGCTCTTCACTGCAGATTTTTAAAAATGTGTTTTTATAGTTGTTTAAGCAAATAAAACTGAGGCAAATTTAGTAGTTAATTTGATAGTTGACAGTTAAATTCTTATTTTGCAAGGTATAATTCATCAGGGCATCAGGTCTGTTGTAATGTATAGAGGAGGTGCTTGCCTAAGTCACAATGCCTAATTGAATTATCACCGTTTGCAGGTCATAGCCTCTTAAACGATTGCTTCCCTTTACAGAAGGCATGCAGACTTTTGGGCATGTCACAAGCAACATACAAACTTCTTCTTGAATACCAATACAATATCTGGGCTCCGAGAGTCATGAGATCATCCTCACCTGGAAGTCGTTGGCTTTGTTGTAGTGCATGTTTAGCGATCTGAAAAGTTCTGATTCTCTGCTTACAGTCAGATCCCTCACGTCGGGCGCCCCCTCCAGGAGAGCGCTCCGGGCAAACTTCTCCATCTGGATGTAGTAAAACTCCCGGAAGTTGCTGAACCACTTGATGAGCTGGGAGGTGATGCAGCGTGTGAACTGTGGACGACACACGCAACGGGTAAGTAAAGTAATGAAACATGACCACGAGTTACTGGAAACTTGATTGTGAATATTTTAGATGTAAAAAAAAAAAAACAATTAAATAAAATGATGCAACTGTTTCACCGTGTTGTCTGCTGGGTTGTTTTTTTTATGTTATTCAGGATATTTTGCAAGTTATAAATCTCAAGGTTTATAATGTGGTTAGATTTGGAAAACATGACACTTGAAGCAAAACGTCAAGTTTTTTTTTTTTTAGGGTTTGCAAGTTTTCTACAACTTTCTTTTTGGAGATGATAAGGTTTTACTCACCTGCACGTCATGGAAGCACATCCTCAGCACCACTGAGCTCGGATAGCGAGTGTAGAAGAACATGAGCTTTGCTTTCTTCAGGTGGTTTGTTGTCAGACACTCCTGAAAAACGCCATTAAGGAAGAAATCCACAGATCTAAATCAAAATTCTCTTAAGTTGCCATGGCTAAAGAGACGTGTGGTTTTCTTTAGACTAAAATAAGGAGCATTTAAAAATACAAGGTAACCATACCAGATCGAAATGACTCATGAGTGTCTGAAAGGATACGTTCAACATGTAGAGGTTATTTTTCTCGAAGCAATCTGGTTCTAACTTCACATGTGGGAGCTGCAGGCTTTCAAGAATCACCTGATCCACCGGCACGGTGTGTGTGTGAGGGCTTCTCACACATCTGGAGGTGACCTTTGATTTCACTTTGACCAAATTCCAATACGTGTCCAATCTTGGCTCACCGCCTTCAGAGCATCCGCCTGGTAAACATTTAAAACTGTGCCGTCGATGGTGTGTGATGTTGTCTTGCTCCGATGCTTGTTCAGGCTCACTGCTGAAGAAGATGGGAGATTTGGGGGTAAGAGGAGCCGCTGATGTAGACTGGAGGATGAAGTTTCGCGGCCTTTCCAGCTCTGGCTTTTGGACCACCAGAGACAGAGCTTCTGTTTGGACGTCAGGGAGCAGAACCTCTGCCGTCCCACATCTTAATTTATCCTCCATGCACTCTGCCAAATGAGGAGGGAGAGTAGTTTCTGAATTCTCCATCTCAGTTGGGGTCTGTACAAGCGGCATGCTTTTGAAAATGGAGTCCACACTCCTGCTCACAGCTCGGGTCAGCTCGTACTTTAAAATGTCTGCCATCAGCTTCGCCCGATCCGGTTTGGAGCCGAGGTGGCCTGGCGTCGCCTTCTTCCATTCCTGATGAATTTTACCTGGACTGCTTTCAGACTCGCTGCAGGACTTGGAAAGTACCTCGTCTGTAGATGCTTCAGACGAAACACTCCATCTGGGAAACTTCTCATCTTCGCAGATGGGACTGAACTTCGTCCTAACCTCTCTGAGGTACCGGTGGCTTTCGCTGAGGCTTTCAGTTCCACTCGCTTCCACGTGTCTCTGATGTAAAGCCGACACTTCGACCCTTTCTTCTCCCTCCCGCACGCAGCCGGTCTCCTCATGCTGATTTGGCGCCACATCTGTGCAGGTTATACCTTTGATGATGTTCTCAACTCTGGCACGCTTGGCTTGGCGGCCGCTGTTGAGACTCCAGTCGTAATGACTGGAAAAAGCAGGAGACAAAGGTGTTCTTGTGCTCCCTGTGGACAGATTATACTCCACCGGGACGGAACACGATAAACCCAAAGCAGTGTTTTCAATCCTGTGAATCAGTCCCTTGATGTTCTTGCCGTCTTTGTGTGAGGTGTAAAAACCACCTAAATTTGATGGCGGCGGGTCAGGGTGACTGGGGGGCAGATGCTCTGCGGTGCAGCCGGCCAGGCAGACGTCGCTGGAAGAACACATACCTTTGCTCCAGAAACTCATGCTTCACAGCCTGAAAAGAGTGGGGGAAATGTGATAATTAACAATGTGATGCTTCGTTATGAATATAAGCATTTTTATTCGTCATACTCACCGAGCCAGAGTCGTAATAAAGAACTAATGGCGTGCCTGAGAGGTGCACTAAGAGACCACGGAGGGTTTTGAAGCTCGCAGGAGGATGGGGCAATTATTTATCTGTAGTGAATCTGCTAAAAGCCCCTCAAAGAACTGGAGGTGTGGTCTAACACACGCCTGACACACATAGACCCACCTCAAAAAAATTATCCTTGGATTCAATTATTACATTTTTATACTTTATTTGCATTTTGTTTGTTTTATATTAAACCACAAACGGCAATATATTCTTTTTTTTTTTTTTTTTTTTGGTGTCTGAAAAAGACACCAAAGAAATCAGAGAAAATGATGCATGGTTATCTTATTTTGTTATGGTGTACATTTGTATTCAACCCCTTTTGCTCTGGCATTCATAATTGAAATCCATTTTTTTTTTAAAAAAAAGCTTTCAGATGTCACAAGATTAGTGAAAAAAAGTCCATCTGTGTATAACAGTGTATAAGTTTTGAAAAAAGTTTTTCTGCAAACGTAGATGTTTGTAATCATCGAAGAAAGCAAGAAAGTTGCCCATGAAACCTCAGGAGGAAATGTGGCTTTCATGGACGAGTGACAAAAAGACGGGACACAAGTATGTGGAAAACACTTCTCCAGCCAGAGACCAGATTTTTATTTTATGACCTACATGTACTGGATTTGTGCGTAACTCTACGTGCACAATCACAATGGTGAAACATAGTGATGGCAGCATCTTTCTGTGGGGAGACTATTCTATAAGGGAGAGAGAAGATGCTTATTGTTGATGCAAAGATGACTGGAGCCAAATAGTGATTGGTGAAGGTTGATGCATCAAATTGTTCGGATCTGTGAACTGTATTGAGTAGATATAGTTTTTAACTCAACCAAGATACAACACGATATTTTACTCTGGCAGAAGCAAGCAACTTCGATCATTTTAATATAAATAGAATTGTGGTGTTCCACAAGGCCCAGTGCTTGGGCTGCTGTTGTTTCTCATTTCCAATATATGTATTCCTTCCACCAACAGATTTGCTGATTCTTAAACCAAATCTAAAATGCGCCATATTAACTGCTATGTTAAAAAAATCATAACTGGGATAAAAACACATGAGCAGGAAAGCCGATCTTGGTATAAAAAGATGGTTCCGTCTGAGGTCGGGTGCGATTGATATCTACTCCCGCACCGCCCGCTGTGTGCTGCGGTCCCTCCACTCCCGGGCGAGCTGCGGTGGTTCCTCCCAGTGGGAGCGCCGCTGTGCTGCAGGGGATCAAAATTAGCACTCGTGTCAAAAAACAAACAAAAGAGCATGCAAAATATCACCACCAAAAAATATAAGGAAATTTAAATATGAGATGTATACCGTAAAATGGTCCAAAATACTTTTAAAAAATGTAGTTATTTTAACACCAATAAAAATATATAAGCAGCATAAAGATAAAAAAAAAGTATTTGAACACTCAGAGAAGTAAATAGAAATAATGAAATATAAAAATGTTTTTTTATGCATTAGATTTAAAACTTAAAAAATGTATAAACATAAAATAAGAGTAAATGTAGATAAAAAACAACCGAGTTACTGAGATTTAATCACCAGGCTACAAATCTGATTTGAGCCTCTTACCAAAAATAAAGTGCAAAGCAGTGTTTCTGCTTTGACAATGAAGGTTTCTTGTAGTGCAAAATGAAAATGCTCAAATGCGCATCAGCTTTGTGACATTTTCAGAAGAACTGGGGAATCCAGCTTGCCTGCAAAGTAAAGCAGATGAATAGATAAAGAGATGCATGTTTAATGAGCTACGGTGCAGATTTCAAATCTCAACGTAGAGATTTGAATGGTGGTAGGAGCATCATTTTGTGTTTTTTTTTTCTGCATGTGCTTTGCATAAAGTGGATGGGTTAATAAGGAAAGAGGACAGCCTTCACATTCTTAAAACTGCATCTCAAATCAGCAGCTAGATGGTTGAAACTGCCTCTGTGTCAGAAACCCAAACCAGTCAAATAAATATGTATAGCACATTTTCAGCAACAAGGCTATGTTTTACATCATAAAAACATCCAGCAGTCACCAGTTAAACCGACCACTTGACAAAGAAACACAGAATGTAAAGGATAGTGAACATATGTTAAAGTTATACCAAAAGGTTGTTCATTGCTACAGAAAACACTGCAGTCACAGAGCAACAAAACATCGACACAGAGAGACGTTTGAGTCTTAACAGTGAACATGTAAAAAATAAAAAAATAAAAAGGTTTGGATAACAAGTCCCAGATTCACTTTCTGTTGATGTAGCCACAATAAGCCATGGTAGAATACATGTTTGACTACAAAACATTTTGCTGGCATAATTAAGGCATAAAGGTAACTAAATAACATCTCAGCTTTTTTGCAAAATTAAACTAAAAACTGGTGAAACTTGATAGCTGCATGTCCGTGCAGGAACTGGAAAAGAACGTTTGGTTCCACTTTGACTGACTCCACCCTCCTCAGGCATCTCGCATCAATTGCTTTTTACACAAGTGGCTCCACCAGACTTGGACCGATGTTACTTGTGGAGCCAAGCCCTGAGAACACACACACACACACACACACACACACACATGTATGAGTCATGTCCATTGTATGGCATTTAGCAGTGGTGGAGCTTACAGCTTACAGCTCCACCACTGCTAATGAGGTGGTTTAGCTAGTTGTTAGCTCTAAAAGTGTGTGAGAAGAGGAGTAAATGATTCTTTACCATTTTTATTTAAAAATATATATTTTTAAGTCGTGTTAGTGGTTTGTTAATCGGTTTGGGAGCAATTAAGAAATGTGAGCAACCTAATATAGTCTGCAGGTTAAATAAACATTAAACACATTAATTCCAAATGAACAATTTGACATGACATGAAAGATAAAAAGGTGGACAACAATCCGTTCACGTGACAGTCGGCCCAAATATACGCACCCGATGTAACAAAATAAAATCCTAGAAATAATTATGGAGGAAGCTAATAACTATGGAGTGTTTCATTGAAACAAAATTAATCTAACACTCTCGTTCTCCTTTTTAAGGTTTATAATTTGGGTATTCAACAAAGTTTATCGGGTAAGATTATTTCTAACTAAACTTTGAGAAAGTCAGTAATGCTGCTTCTTTTCATGGTTGAAAAATGTTGTATTTTATTGATTTTTGTCTTTTCCTCACTTACTGCAAGGTCACTCAATCTGCAGCCAATTCGTTTACAGGGAATCTCAGCTGTAAGTTCTCTGATCATCTCCTTTTTTGATTTTCAGCATTTTTCTTACCATCAAACATTTAATCAGAAACCTATGATAACAAAATAGCTACTTTAGACATTTGTGGTGGCATTAACAAATTTTGTTAGCGAGTCAGTTGCATTGTTAAAATGTTTTACATTCGGTTTTTAAAAGTTTTTACTGAATTTGAACCACAATCTTCTTTTTCACATGAAGGCGTAGATATCTGGCCCCATCAAATGCATTCCTCTGCAGGTATTTTAGGACGTCCGCTGTTTCCAGTATGTATCAGTCTTAGTATCTTGTTTAAAACTGACTCTGCTTGCTACTTTTTGTTACTCGTGATGGCTCTGAATTTATACTTTTATGGTCTTTCTTGTACAGACGACGAATTGGTCACGGTCAACACGCCTCCATTCGCCGAGTCAGTCACAGAGGGCGATGTAAGGTGGGAAAAAGGTTAGCATTTATCAGCTTAAATAATATATTCTATTGTTTTCTGCGTGTGAAGTGCCACTCAGTTTCTTTTGTTTTTTTGTTGTTTTTTTTTGTTTGTTTTTTTTTTAAAGCTGTGGGTGATTCGGTAGCAGACGACGAAGAGGTGTGTGAAGTCGAGACCGACAAGGTTTGATATGAAAAAATTTAACTCAAACCCAAACCTACATTAACATTATTGTTATAATGCAGTTAAAACATCTTTGCTCTGCTCTTCCAGACGTCAATACAAGTCCCAACTCCTGCAGCCGGTGTGATCGAGGAGCTGCTGATCCCTGATGGAGGGAGGGTGGAAGCAGGAACTCCCCTGTTCAGACTACGGAAAGGAGGTTTTTGTATAAACCAAAAAATATATATATATATATATATATATATATATATATATATATATATATATATATATATACACTGCTCAAAAAAATAAAGGGAACACTCAAATAACACATCCTAGATCTGAATGAATGAAATATTCTCATTGAATACTTTGTTCTGTACAAAGTTGAATGTACTGACAACAAAATCACACAAAAATCATCAATGGAAATCAAATTTATTAACCAATGGAGGCCTGGATTTGGAGCCACACACAAAATTAAAGCGAAATGTTCCCTTTATTTTTTTTGAGCAGTATATATAAAACATAGTAACTGGTAAAGTGGTTGGGATCGTCTGAGTTTCTTCTTTCTGGTTCTTGACATATTGTGGCTATTTTGTGTCAATCTGAAAAATCCCAGATGGTTGATCAATCTCAGTTTTGATCAACGTGTATATGATCCACTTAGCTCAGATGACGTAGTATTACAACATGTCTTATTTTAAAGTCACCGAAAGAGTCCCTAGATAATATAACCGATTGGGTCAGACATTTTCTTTTCCAGTAAGCTCATTTCAGATAAAACAGTCGTCATTGTTTTGGGTCCCAAGGATGAAAAATGAAGCGCAATCTTATTTTTAGTAGGTTAAATTATTGCAATGGTGTCTATACTGGTCTCTCTAAAAACTCAGTCATGCAGCTACAGCTTATGCGAAATACTGTAACTCTACAAAAATCAAACCTATTCTTAACGGACATTACAAATAAATGATCATCCCCTTTTATATTTTGCTATTTGTAACATTTGTATTAATTGTTTTGCTTTCAAAAATGCCAACCGGTTTGAAATGTTCAAATAGCACCTGTTCATTGCGTCTTTTACACAGCGTGTTACCTGGTAAGTGTGTGTGAAAGGATTTTTAATAAATTCATGTTTTATTTTGAGTGTCTGAATTCAATGTGAAAAAAAAAAATTCTAACGTTAATATTTGTTTATTTAAAATCACTTGTGCCAAGATTCCTATAAAATAAATGTAAATTAAGCTTCTTTTTTTTTCGTCACTTTAACATTTTTAATAATGCCGTGGGTGGGGGAGGAGGGTTGTATTTGTATTCATATACAAAAAAAAGAAAAAAAAATCATAAAGCTTGCATCTAACTTCTTAGCTGCTCCAGCTGCCAAAGCTGCTCCCTCTGCAGCTACAGAGGACATCCCTCCTCAGCCGTCCATTTCTGCTCCACTGCCACCACCGCCTGCTCCACCGCCGCCTGGTGACTACCGCACTATTCATTCCACCAGTTACTAATGGGCTCTTTGCACCTCAGCTTCCGCGTTCGGGGTAAAGCGGCTCGATTGTTTCCGATCCAATACAAAT